ATGGTGATTGAACCATTGGCAGCCTCTTCCAATGCTCGACAACCCTTTCTGTGAACAAAATTTTCTTAATATCCAAACTAAACCTCCCCTGGTGCAACCTGAAGCTATTTCATCTCATCTGATCTCTTATTACTTAGAAGAGGAGACTGACCCCCCACCTGGCCACAGCCTCCTTTCAGATAGTTGTCTCCCTGAGCCTCCTTTTCTCAGACTAAACAACTTCAGCTCCCCTATCCATTCCTCACAAGATTTGTGCTCCGGATCCTTCACATGCTTTGTTGCCCTTCTCTGGACACGCCCCTGTATCTCAATGTCCTTCTGGCAGTGAGGGCCCCAAAAAATGATCCCAGTATTTGAGGTGTGGCCTGACCAGTGCCAAGTATAGGAGGAAAATTAATGCCCTGGTCTTGCTGGCCATGCTACGTCTGATACAGGCCAGGATGCCACTGGCTTTCTTGGTCACCTGGGCACAGTGCTGGCTCATGTTCAACTGGCAATTATCAACTAATTGCATTTTATAGTTTCCAAAACCAAGCTGTATCTGAAAATAGAGATAGAAATAATCATCTTTTTCATATCCTGTGCCTGTTTAGTTTTGGTATCCTTTGTGTCAGTGGATTTACACTTGCTTCGGGCAGAAATGAAAGAATCCTACAGTAGTAGCTGGTTGACTTGTTGTCATAACTCATTCCTTACTCATCCTTTCTCCAAAGGCCTCACTCTGCTCCCTATTAGTATATGCCTTGCCATAATGTGTTTCACATTTCCAGTCACGAAAGCAGTAGATTCTGTTTTAGTATTCAGCATTAAGTGTCCGAGTGGTTGCACAAGCAGACCTAAGCATATGAAGAGGCATTTTGTACTAGTAATATCCATGCACAATTTGAATGTCCAACTAAAATGTTGGCTCTGAGTTGTGTTACTACAATGTGAGATTGTACAGGTTGTTGTATTTGCACAGAAACTAGGGAAGACCTTAGTAGCTCTATCCTGCAAGGCTTGCAGGGGTGAGACTCAGGTGTACTAGGTGGACAAGCTATTTGCAATTATAATATGGCAAAAGATTCACTACATGGGATTATGCAGAAAGATTCAATAAGAAAGTACTTATCTTAATGAGTTGAAATAGTTGAATACTTACCCTCTGATCTGTACTTGAGCCACAGCACTGACGTTGATATGGAGGTTAACTAAATTGCTAGTGGGATTTATCTTGTTAGAGCTGGAAAAGATATGTACAAGTGTTAACAAAGGTTATTTATTAGAAGTCTAGATTGTTATGATGATGAGATTGTTATAGATACAGCACTGAATACCACAAGGCCCCAGTTAGGATGCAATGCCATTGGACATGTTACAGCATGGGCTTCCCATTGCCACTCTTTAGTCTTGCAGGACACTGGTGTTTAAGTCTGATATTACTTGAGCTCATCACATGCTTAATAATATAATCAGCTCAAGCTTCCTTTAGAGAATCCTATGATGAATATGATGATACAAACTTATGCAGCTCAGAATATCATGTAAATTCCCTTGTTCAACTTGGCTATCTGTCTGAAGTATCTTAATAAAATCCAAGTTTGTTTCATGCACTGGAGAAAGGCAGTGTTAATAAACAAGACAGGCTTTTAATAAAAAAAAATTGGTTTTATGGCTCTCCAAACTTGTGACTTCTGAATGACGGAGTCTTTGAGGAAAAAGAACACAGATCAACTGTTTCTTTACTTTTCTTATTTTCTTCCCTCCCTTCCTTTATCCAGAGAGTGTTTACACTCTTAATCCCACTAACCAGTGAAAATAGATCCCTATGTTTAAAGTCTAGTGCTCTCACTCACTTGATTGTCTTTCCTTATTGCAAATCCTTAGTAATAAAGGTAGTTACTCTTACTTCAAAAGACCATTCCTATGACTATAGCCCACTTATGTAAAGGAAGGTTTTCAGGTTCAAATTCATAAAGACAGAGAAAATAAGTAACGACAGACTTAGAATTTATTTAATACTAAGTTTGGATGGTTTTTTCAAGCAAGTGTGTACTTCCTTGCTTCATGAAGACTAAGTTTCTATTGCTGTCACAATTTGCTGTTATCACATCTGGGTAGCATCAGTCAAATGGAAACATTCAGGGGAGGCCAGCATTCCCAGTGACTGACTCTTGAGAATTAAAGTGCAATACTGCTTTGATCCAGGCTTTCTGCTTACAGATTTCTAAAATTAAGAGCAGCTCTAGTTTGTTTGTAAACTAATGCAGATTCACCCCAAACATTATTTGAACTTTTAATGTGATCCTCTATAGCCATTGTTTTGAGTACAAAAGTAAAGAAATTGTTTAAAGTATAAAAATTACTAAACCACTACTTTGTTAGAATAAGCTGCTCTCCGATTTGTATAGTGGCCTCACTTTCCATGGAACTAAAATACAAATTTTGAGCATATATATATATCTATGGTATTTAAATCTTGGTCATAATTTATGGTATTTTTGCAGAGAAGAAAATAGTTTAAATAAAAGTGCCAGGACATCTCCCTTTCTAAGGAGTATATAATTGCCTAGCAAAGTCCACATCAGAAAAGGAATCAGATTTCAAGACACTACTCAGACCGTTGCTTTTTTACTATAAGTAATAAATATTTATTTTCCACTTGATGTTTTGAAGTAAATGAAAGGTCTCTCTTTTGAATAAATTAGACTAGGACACAAATTCAGATGTGTTCTTCCTTTTCCTGCCCTTTAGGTAATTTCCTCTTTCTGCCTCATGAATTTCTGTTCTCTTTTCCTTTCAGGATTCTTTTACCTGTTCACTAAGGACACAGAAATGCTCAAACTGTAGTGCTGCTTGAGAAAGAATGTACCAAGCAGTGAGTTTTAAGTATAGGGTACATTCCCCATGCAAGATGTTTTACTCTTTCTTTTGGTTTTAAAGTAGCTGGGTGCTCTTCAGCACTATCATACCAGTTTCTGAAAATCTTTGGTTTTGGTAGCCCAACAGATTTCCTCCCTTTTCATTTTAGTGAGCCACACTCATGGAGGAAGCATGAGATCCTGATTTCTCCTGAGGTTCAGACTTATTCCTCAGTAAATTCATGTCACTTTTTCTAAACCAGTGACCTACCCTCAACTCTTATCACCTAGACAGATTTAGCTATTCAAAAAGCTCTGAGCCTCCCCAATTTCATAGCATGAAAAGGGTTTAGAGGCATGAACCTCTAAACATACCCATCTAAAACTGTATTGCTTCCACTAAGAAGTGACCAGTGGCATGGCAGGGGACCCACAAGTTACTTGCTGTATCTCTCTCTGGAGTAGCCCATGTCCAGGTTTGCATGATCTCCAGCTCACCAGTTAGATCTCTGGGAGAGGCCTGAGGCCTGACCGAGCACCTCACTGACTTCTGTGGCATTGCTGTGCCCTTCCAAATTTCTACATGCTCTTTCCTTCAAGGGAAGGAAATGTCTCAGTTATTTACCATAATGAACATGATCAAGGCCCTCATTAAAGGCCAGACATTAGCATTTAAGTCTCTGTGTGTGGGGCAGCGAGGGCAGGAACTCCAGTGTGTATTTGATGAGGACAGATGAAGCAGAAGCCCTGCCACCTTCAGAAAAAGTCCCAGGCTTGCTCTTGCTTTTATCCTAACCCAGCCTGCCCTGTGTTTTTTGTCCCTGTGGAAGAAGTACTGTTCAGCATAAAACAGAAGATTCTCCAGCAGTAGTATGTGAGGCCCACAAGAGACCTGAGGGAAGAAACTAATGGAAAAATGACAGAGGTTCACCTGCATCAAACTGAAGCAGTTCTTTCTCTTCATGCCTGCAAATTCGTTGAGCAGATTTTAACTGCTCTCCTTTTATTTTTTAAATTGCTGTGAAGAAGAGGCAAGTCTTTTTTCTGAATTTCATAGCTGATATGTTTGTCCATATGCAACTTTGTTACAAAGTTATCACTGTTCATTAATTTGGAAGTGGAAAACAAGGTAACATTTTGGCAAAACTGTAGAAAATCCTTGGATTACTGACCAAAGTCAGTTAATCTGAATTTTAAAGAAATGATTTGGCTAAAAGCTAGCAAGGTTCCAACATCACAAATCCTCCTGAAGTAAGCTACCATAGGAAAGCCCATGAAATTATTACTGACACTCAAGAGTAAGAGTGACCTTCTTATACATTAAAGTTTATGTATCAATAGAAATTCATAATTTAAATAACTATACTCTTGATAAAATATCTAACCTTTTTATTTGCAGCTCAAAACTGATGCTGGACTCTGCATTTTCAAAATGCTGAACAGAAAATCGAATGCCTGTGGAGAACTGAGAGAGAAACAAAACAGCAGGTTATTAAAAATGGTTGATCTCCCAGATCAATAAAGCAGTACTGTTCAACATTGCATTTCGCAGACATACTGGATACTGTTGCTTTTTAAAATTAGTATGAAATAACATCGTCTAGTTTTTCTTAAGAAAAAATACCATCCTGCCTGTGTATGTCACCAGATGGAAAACTTGGCTGGACAGAGGAAAGATCAGAGGAACAGAGTTGCATACTCCCAAGAAAACAGTGGTGGGTCCTTCTTCATTCAGACAGTCTTTGCTTTACTTCGCTAAGCCAAAAGAAAATAATGGCTGTCTGGCACCTCTCATCCCTGCCTCCATCCATGCACGCCTTTGTCCAGGTCTCCAGGGTTTCCTGCTCCCCACCTTGTCTCTGCAACTGTGACCTATGAGATGCATGCTTTAGGTATTGTGGGGTTGACTGATCACGTAAGGCTAAATTAGCAGCAGTTTTAATTTAATTTGATTTGGTTTTATTACAGTTCTGTTAAGAGGAATACAGATTCAAAGTTATATTTGCAATTGATTTTGCCACAACTTGCAGTGTGTGAGCAGAGGAGATAGAGGGTAAAACACACAGCTCCCAAAACTGAAGGAGATAAGTGCTTCCACTGGTGCTCCCCTGTGTTTCTGCAGACGTGGCTTCCTCCCTTTGACAATTTCCATTTGCTTCTCACTCCCTGTCTACCTCTCCTATGGCTAACTGAATCTTAATCCATCTCCAGAACAAGACTTACCTAACATGTTTCAACTACTACTTTCAGCTGGCCTATGCTGAAAGCAATATTGTCATCATAAAGGAAATGGCAAGTTCAAATCTTTGAATTCTGATTATTTTAATGTCACAGTTATAGTTGATCTCTCTCTTTGGAAGCAGAATCATTCAGATGAAAAGACAGTGGTTGAAAACTGAGTAATAGAGATGGAATAGAGATGTAAGCTCTTTATAAGGTCTCTTTTTGGAGATGACGTTAACAACTGTATTGAAATTCCATTCACCTTTAAAAATATAATGACTTTCTTTAGTCTTTTAGACAAAAATTTCCAAATATTCAATTCACCATTTCTCTTACTGTTTTTACTAACCAGTCTAAATAAATTTATTTCCACTTATAGAAGAAAAAAGATGTGGTGAACTAAAGATAAAATTTTCATCAGACAGAGCAGACATGAACTGTAGTTTTGATGATCTATTACTCCCCTGAGGCTTAATCCCCTATTTAATGGTGAAACACACTCCTACTGTACAACTCTAATAAGCTGCAGATGTTGCCTTTGTATAGTTGTATGACTTTGTTAATGTCAAGTAACCCTTGACACTGCTACTAATAACAGGGCAAAGATGCTCACTTGCCCTTGCTGAAAACCCACTGATGCCAAAGAAGTTTAATTTGCTTGAACTTGTAGCTTAGCAATCACTCAACCTCCTTATTTTACTAGGACATAAATTTTATCAGAATAGTTTAATTTTATTTAAAATTTTCCAAGTGAAGTTCGTTTCATTAAAATTGCAATTTTTCCATGTTTGTAACATCATGTATCTTTGACATATATGACATTCCTGCTATTAGTGATCAGCCTTAATCTGTTACCATGTTTGACAGGATTTAGAAGTATGCTGGGAGGCAGAGGGAAAGCTTTTTTTAAAGTGTCTTACAGTGAATAAGAAAGATAAAACCTCTGTGCTCTTGAAGAATTAGTTTGGTACATATCAAGAAACAGGCAAGATCTTCCAAGCCTCCACTCTTATAATCTTATTACTATTATTTTCTATTAACTTCCTGATTTTTCTACCAGAATTTTTAATAAAACCTATATTTCACTTGCTAATGCTACTGAACAGGCATTAGGAAGCTTGTCGGTCTGATCCATTTAAGAGTCATAAATAAGTACATTGAGCACTCTTTGCCAGTGAGATGGTATCAGCCACTTAATTTGCATTCTGGGTCATGTGGTATTCTGATTTTCCTTACCTTTTTATATTCTTTTTCACTTTTTCTTCTTTTTTTAACCTCAAAGATATTACTGAAAAGGTCAAGTATTTTTTTGTGGTCAGTAAAGAGTTTTAAGGACACAGATGACAATAATGCATTTTGAAGATGCGAAATGTCAGTCAACCCTGTAGTCCACTACAGTAATATCCCATGGGTTACATCACAAAATCCCAACATAACCCTCATACCCAAAAGTTGATCTTAAAGAGTTCAAAAATCCTAGGATTTCAGGGTGCCGAAAAGCCATGACAGTGACTCAATAGTTAAGAACTTTAGGAATGTTAGATTTTGACCTAACCTTCCTTTCCACTCACAACTTTCACAAAGAGTCCCTTTCTGACTGAGTATTTTGAGAATAACTGATCTCCTGCCAGAGCAGAATTGTTTTGCAAAATTGGAAATAGATCAGAGTAACCTTTTGTGATTTATGCAATTTGTGCAAAGGGCTGGTATTTTGCTTTTGGAAGTACATTTGCCATCATAAATATGTTTGGACTGAAAAAGCAAAAGTCCTTTCACCTTTCCTGAGTGTCCAGGAGAGCTGGTTTCAAAGACAAAGTTTGGATTTAAGATTTCACTCACTATAATCAAACAATTTAGCCATCTGTCTTTGTAATACTCTATCTTCCCATGCCTCAATTTTAAAGGGTTGGATTACTTTGTTATAAACCAGAACATCCTTAAATATGTTATAAACTCTGTTGTTTTATTCTGCTACTTCTAAGTCACTCTTTACAAAGTATTTTGCTTAGGAATATTTGGTAACAGCAAACCATAAATGGCAACCCTAGAATTGATTCTGAAGAAAAGAAGGATCAGTTACATTGTGAAAATTCATAAGGACACAGGTGAGAGTAGTACTGCTTTAATAGCCACCAAAGAGCATTCCTGAAGTCTTCACATTACTAGCATTTTGAGTCAAGGATGATGTAGAAACATGGCCTTGGATTCAAAGAGAGGAGTCTGAGGGTCTGCAGTCTAACATGTGAGAGTCTCTTGTGTTTAGTCTTCCTTTTCTCTTCCAAACCCAAGGGGTTTTATGCTCTCCTGCCCTCCTTCACTGCATCCTGATCATCCACAAGATTCTTGTCTACTTCCATCTGTATCTTGAGAATTTGCTTCTGCCTTGAGACTAACTGGGAAACCACTAAGCAGGTAACTAAAATTGCTGGTTTCTCAATACAAGAGACTACAGAATCAGAATTACAGAGTATGCTGAGTTGGAAAGGACCCACAAGGATCATCGAATCCAACTCCTAGCCCTGCACAGGAGTCACACCCAAGAGTCACACCAGGTGCCTGAGAGTATCGTCCAAACTCTTTTTGAACTCTATCAGGCTTGGTGCTGTGAACCACTTTCCTGGGGAGCCTGTTCCAGTGCCCAAACATCCTCTAGGTGAAGAATCTCTTTCTAAGATCCAACCTAAACCTCCCTTAACACAACTTCAGGCCATTCCCTTAGGTCCTGTCACTGGTCACCACAGAGAAGAGATCAGTGCCTGCCCCTTCTCTTCCCCTCATGAGGAAGCTGTAACTGCAACGAGGTCTCCCCTCAGTCTCCTCTTCTCCAGGCTGAACAGACCAAGTGCCCTCAGCTGCTCCTTATACAGCTTCCCCTCCAGACCTTTCACCATCTTCATCCAAAGGCTGTCCTTTGGACACTCTCTAACAGCTTAATGTCTTTTTTATATTGCAGAGACCAAAACTGAACACAATATTCAAGGTGAGGCCACAGCAGTGCAGAGCAGAGCAGAACAATCCCCTCCCTTGACCGGCTGGAGATGCTTTGCCTCATGCCCCCCAAGGTTGGCCCTCCTGGCTGCCAGGGCAGTGCAGACTCATGTTCAACTTGCCATCGACCAGGATCCCCAGGTCTCTTTCCGTGGCACTGCCTTCCAGCATCTCATTCCCCAGTCTGTACGTACACCTGGGGTTGTCCCATCCCACGTGCAGAATCCAGCACTTTCCCTTGTTGAACTTCCCATGGTTGGTGATTGCCCAGTCCTCTGATTTGTTGAGGTCTCTCTGCAGGGCCTCCCTGCCTTTGAGGGAGACAATAGGTCCTCCCAGTTTTGTGTCATCTGCAAACTTGCTTAGTATCCCTTTCAGTCCTGCATCCAAGTAATTTATGCAGATGTTGAAGAGCACAGGACCCAAGATGGAGCCCTGCAGAACTCCACTAGTGCCAGGTCAGCAGTCTGATGTTACCCCATTCACTATTACCCTCTGTGCTCAACCTGTGAGCCAATTGCTCACACATCACATGATGTGTTTATCCAGCTCTGTGCTGGACATTTTGAACAGAAGGATCCTGTGAGAGACAATATCGAAAGCTTTACTGAAATCCGAAAAGGTTACATTAACTGTCTTCCCTTGGTCAACTGGTTGGGTTACCTTGTCGTAGAAGGAAATCAGGTTCGACTAGCAGGACTTTCCTCTCATGAAGCCGTGCTGGCTGTGACCAGTGACTGCGCTGTCTTTCATACTTCCCAAAATAATCTTCTCCATAACTTTAGCAGGTGCTGAAGGGAAACGGACAGGCCTGTATTTACTGGAGTTCTTCTTCTTCCCCTTCTTGGAAATCAAGATACCTTCCAGTCAGCTGGGACCTCTCCAGCTTCCAAAGACTGCTCAAAAGTCCTTGAGAGAGGTTTGTGATGACATCAGCAGCTCTTTGAGGATTCTTGGATGAATCTCCATTTTTATTTGACTTGACTTGGAATTTATCCAGTGCTTTGGCCCATCATTCCCTCCCAAAATCCCATTATGAAAATTCCATTCCTCAGAAATGTTTTCAATTATTCTTACCTTTTAGGAGTTTCATTTAGTAGAATAAAACAAAACCTTCAAAATCTTTTATCCCTCTTGTCTATGTCCTTCCCAGAAAATGTTTGCAGTATTCTCTTCAGACTTCTAGTTCACAGTGGTTCTATGGAGAAACTCACCAGGAAGATTCCTCTTCCCAGGAGGTCCATTACTGACAGTCCAATTTTCAGTGGTTTCCAGCTCCTTGTAATCCCAAAGAGTCCCTGGGACTGTTTGTGACCATGCAAGCCGATGACTGTATGAAACACCCGTTCGCATTCACTTTCAGTTCTGTGGCTGATCTGAGGCTATCCCTAGGATCCAAACAAACTTATTCTAGTCCCAGTCTCTCATGGGGAGTATGACTCTTTTGGTTCTTTTATCGAGGGTCAGACATGAACTACTTCAAGATCGTAAGAGACCAGGAAAGATCCCCTCTGTAGAGAGGCTGAAGAGTGAAATACTGATCTTCTGTAGGACAAACCTTAACTTTTTAGGAATTTTGAAAATACTTAGGAAATTTGCCTTAATTTCTTTGCAAAGCCACAGGCCCAATATGAAATTCAAGCAGTGGTAGTTTTCAGTCAAAAACTGTTGTTTATTCCTGATATATGTTCATGCTGTTGACCACTTCATTTTTATTAGGACAGTTTTTTATCTAGGTATAAATGTTTGGATTATTTGCTTTTATTTAAATATTTGTAACATTTACAAATTTATAAGAAACACTAAATTCCTCTGCAAGAGCATCCATGGCTGAATATTCCTGAGTTTAACACTTCTGGGATTTCCTAGACTGTTATGTCATGAAATAGGGACAAAGGATGACAATTGTGGAAAAGGTAGCTCTTTTTTATCTCCAAACCTATTTTTAATCCTTACCTACTGTCCATCATTAGTCATTATTCAGTTCCACTTTTGCCTAAAAGCAAGGCTACCAGCATTCCATCTAATATGTAGTCTGATTAATGAGAGGCTGTCTGAGGAAAATCTTTAGATTTACAACAATAACTTGAAGTAAAACTTTATTCCAACCCCATTTTCCTGGATATAAATTGTGATATAAATAGATAAGACAATCCTTATGCACTGAAGATAAGAATCAGACTAAAGAAGTTGTCATTTACTATATATATCTTAAGTAAAGGCAGTACTAAAAAAGAAAAAATAAACAGATCACATTGCAGACTGGGATTCTCTTCTCATTATAGTAGTTTAACTTCTGTGACTTAAACTGAGTCACTCATTTTCTTTACAATAAATGAAATAAAACACAGGTTCTAGCATAATTAATCTTTCAGAAAAACAAGTTGTTAGTTCTTTAGAAGCACAGTTCTGCCTCTTATTACACCAACAATTTCCTGTCCAACTAAATAATTTGGTTTATATGCTGCTTATTGGGACTCCTGCTAATTGAATAGGTTTCCATTTGTTCCCCTTTAAAATTCAATTAGATAAAAATCAGTAAATGCATCTGGTTTTCCCTTACATTTGCGCCAGCCACCATGGGGTTCCCAAGATCACAAACCACCATTCTAGTTTCATTTTCCATCTTGTAATCACAGCTCAATACACGCAGTGCCTGCAACAAAAGGACACCAATATGGAGGTCAGAGATCACAATGAAATGTATCCAGTTGGGAAAGTGATGCCTTTTTGACTGTGACATTTCTTTTGATTTCGGACACCTGCTCAGTGCACTATCAAAACATTTACTTGCTTATTGTCAGAAAACAGGGGAAAACTGATGCCAGGGAAAACCGAACAGGATAGTTTCCCAGAACCTTAAGAATCAGGATGAGATCACTCTATGTCTAGTTTTAACATACTGCTCTGTTTTTGTGAATCATTCCTATAGCCGTAATGACTCAACAGAGAAAAATGAGCAGGTAAACCTGGGTGAGGAAAAAGGTCTCATGCTAATTGAAATGGTTGTGTTGTCCACCACCAGAAGTCTCTATAGTGAATTTCTGGCATTGGCAGAACTTTATAATGGATCAAGTCTAGACCCTTATTTTCCAATCTATGTTAAAATACTTAGAACATTAAATATTACTGTAAAAACATAAACTGTTATCTGTGTTTATAAATTGGCAACAAAGGAGATAGGTTTTCACATTATCAGAAATTAAGGTTTTTGTTATTTATAGCAATCTTTATCACTAGTAGTGTCATCTGTAAACAAAACAGACTGTATAAAAGGAGGAACAGCTATAGAATAGTGCAAATTAGGAGATACAGAATAAGATAAAGCAACAAAATGCGGGTTTTTTTTTCTGTTTTCCTCTTTGACATATTCAATAAAAGAAGGTATTTCCATATATGTGCAGAAGTAAACAAGCTTTGTAAAAGCAGGATGCAGCAAGTTACACTATCTTTCCTCTCATCTGTGATTTTCATGGATGAAGCAGTATGTGTAAGTTATATAAAAAGACCTGGGAAATCTCCAGACTACTGACTATCAATTTGTCTTATCTGTAAAAGCCAGCATGGACACACTGTCCTCATCATTTCCTGAATTTAAATGAAAAGATAGGGCATGTCCTAAACAGAGCTGATATGAAGCATGTCCTTAGCACACACCTCATTGTACACTGACACTTTTACAGTTTGCTAGGAGGAAACAAAGTTGGTTACACAGCATGTCCAGTTCACTAACAGCCTTCCCAAGCCTCTCTAGGGTTGAGAGGGAAGGATTTTTACACTCTTTCCAGCTGGTTAATTAGAGGTGGGAAGCAACACACGGGAGAAGAGAGGATGTTAACACAGTTGAAATCAAACTTGTCTGGAAAACTAATCATTTTAGCTTGATGTGTGGGTTTATAGTTTTGCTTTTGTTAGGCAAGAAGGGTTGAAATTGAGGTCTAAATGTTATAAAATAAATATTCATCGATACAGGACATTTGGCAGTTTCTTTTAAAATGCTGTATCATAGACCTGCACAGAGTAAATTAGCCCTTATCACACATTTTTTTGCCCTTCTAAGGCTGAGAAAATAGGGAAGTTTTTTGAGTAGGTTTTCTGCAGTTTGCATGGCATGCTCTTAAGACAGAAAATGATTAATGGTACAGAATTTATACGACCAGCAACACAAAACCTAATTTGTGCAGCATAAAGATGTGAAAAAGGGTCAAGTTTGGTAGAATTCTTTCAATAATGAGATTTACTGCCTTCATTTTTGCACTGATCACCTTTTTGAGGTGGCTAAATACAAAATAGGAAAATTAAAACCAGGCAGGAAGCAAGCAAGCTCAGAGACTTGTACACCTACTATTGTCAGTATCAGTGGGTTCATACGTAACTCAGCCAGATGGAAGTGTTTGCCACAAAACTCTTCTACCTGCCACTGGTAGCAATTTATATTTTTATAGCAACACATGGTCTTTTTGGCAGTCTTGAGCAGAAATAAAACCCCAACAATTAACACATGTGCTCCCAGGGTGCATTTTAACTAGAAAATGATTGGATGCTTTAAGTAATCCAGGCAGTCTACAAACTTGAAACTTTTTGGTGGTCGTAGTGATGAGTTACTAATTGATGCCAGAATAGTTAAGCACAATAGGTTGAAGAGTAAAACACCTCCTCTCCTTCCTTGATCATCACATTCCAATTTTATTTTCTGAGAAGTGGATGGATTAGGTACCAGGTGCCAGAATTTAGCTTCTCTTCTAGTTGATGTATAAAGAAGTAGTGTTTGTCCTCATAAGGCTCAAATCACATCTCATCCAGCCAGCCATTATGTACTTATTCTAAGAATTTTTAGATAATACAAGAAGGTTTCAGGTTGGTTTTTTTTTTTTTATTATTTTATGAGTGTCATGCTTTAGTTCAGAAAGAAAGTGGCTCAGACCTTATCCATTGCAATACGTATCTGGATGTGAACCCACCATTCCACAGTTTCCAGCCTGAGCAGAGACAGTTCTGCCAAAATACATAATGTTTTTTGGTGTGGAACAAATATCTATTAGGGCTTTGCATTTGCCTAATTTACTTTTAGTTATATGAGGTAATATAATGTAGTTATATGTTTTTCATTGCAGCTAATTCTAGTAACTCTACACCTTATCCATATGAACAGTTATTACAAGCCAATTGGTTTCCAGTAACTACTAAAGCTGTAGTAATTTATTCATTTACCTGGTCTCTGGACCTTCTAAGTGTTTCCACAATACAACTAAAAAAACAACACTTTTGATTTCATTTTAAGTCATTCTACTTCAATAATCAGCTTCTGCCTGAAGGAAGTGTCAGCATCTTCAGGAAACAATGAAGCTCCAAAATCACATCCCTGACCTCAAACTTTAAGATTATATACATTCACTTCCCACTCCACTTTCATATGATCACATATATCCCTGCAAAATGTTACTCATTTTGGTACAGTTGCACAGTCCGTGTACAATATTCTACAGAATCAATCCTGAGATAACAAGATAATGACAACCAAGGCAGGTCAAACACTGTATTGCATAAAGCTGAATGCAGGAGATAGAAGGCAAGTGAATTTTCAGTTAAGTTGTTGACTTCAACAGCTTCTGAGTGTAATTCAAATGATATAGAATAGCCCAAAAAGTAGTTAAAAAAAAAAAAAAGGCAGGTCGGACAGGAAACACTTAAGGGATAAATGTGTTTCTCTATTAGGTAGACTAAATCCAGAGTAGCCCCACAATAAAGTAGATAAATATCCTCTATGAGTATCATAGAGGAAATTATTTGATTCTAAAGATTTTTCAGTTCATCAGAAATGTATCAAATGATTTATTCAGCCGATTACATTTCATGTATTCTGGTCTCAATCTTTGTGTTGCTGGCTGAGGTGAATATTATCTTTGCCTTAACACCAGGAATCTGCAGTTCAGAGAAAAACAGCTACACAGAGGACTGTAAACACAGTAGAACCAAAAGTCAATGAAATGTTAGAGGAAAAGCTTTAAGAGCATCATTGCAACAGGCTCTACCACAAATCCACCTGTCTGCTGAAATTACTCTGTATTAAATTAAGTGCAGAGCAGAGAGGAACAATCACTTCCCTCACTGGTTGGCAATGCTTTGCCTGATGCCTGAGCTTTTACAATTTTCTATTCAAAAGAAAATGAATGTTAGCACTCTTTCCTAACCCATTCTAGTTTCTCTTTAGTCTTCCAAAGCACCAGAATATTTAATGTCTTTTTTCCTTTCTTTCTCCGTAAGTCTATCCTGCTGATGCTGTAAAATTTAAATTTTCCTAAAATAATATAAAGTCCTTAATTATCTCTCTCCAGTCCGAATCATAGAATGGTTTCATTTGGAAGGGACCTTAAAGATCACCTAGTTTCAACTACTCTGCCATGGACAGGGACACCTTCCACTAGACCAGGTTGCTCCATCCAACCTGACCTTAAACACTTCTAGGGATGGGTCATCCACAACTTCTCCAGGCAACCTGTTCCAGTGTCTCACCACCCTCACAGTAAAGAATTTTTTTCCCAATATCTAATCTAAACCTACTCTCAGTTTAAAATCATTCATCCTTGTCCTGTTACTACGTGCTCTTGTAAAAACTCTCTATCTTTCTAGTAGACTCCCTCTTGGTACTGGAAAGCTACAATTAGGTCACCCTTCTCTTTTCCAGTCTGTACAAACCCAGTTCTCTCAGCCTTTCCTCACAGGAGAGGTGTTCCATCCCTCTAATCAGATGGTGACTCTTCTCTGGACTTGCACCAATAGGTCAATGTCCTTCCAGTGCTGAGGACCTCAGAGCTGGATGCAGTTCTCCAGGTGGGATCTCACCAGAGCAGAGTAGAGGGGCAGAGTCACCTCTCTCAATCTGCTGCCCACACTGCTTTTGATGAAGCCCAGGACACAGTTGGCTCTGACTGCAAGTGCGTGTTGCCGGCTCATGTCTAGCCTCTCGTCCAGCACCACCCCCAAGTCCCTCAAATGATAGACATGTGCCAATATGTGCTGTGAGTTTTGGATTAAGTGCCTCCCCTGACATCCTTTGTAATGTCCAAAAGAGCAGCTGAATATTCCTAAAGAGCAACAAATGAAAAATGTAACCATGTGTAGTATATCAAAGAGAACCTTTGTTTTGTAAATCACAGTCAAAAGAACCAGAGGCTTTGCTAACAGAACAAAAGAATAGGCAAGAGGAAAAGGCTGGTTTCTTTAACATATGCTTCTGAGATGTGAAGTTGCAGAGAATTTCCATATTGTCATCTTCGATGACATCATTACCTCTTGTAATTTTTTTTCAAATTAGGTTAAAAGCCCATTAATAAAGTCACTGACAGAAGGAGAATAAGGAAATACCTTGTAAGTTACTTTCAGCCTTAAAAACATTTACCTTTAGAAAGGAAATTAACTTGCTTTCTCCCACTCTCACCCTTGAGGCCCTTCTGAACATTCCAGGCACTAACAGAAAAAAGCAGGCTCATGTTGCAACAGCTTGGGAGATTTATGTGCAGATGAGGTGATTCAGACTTGCTGTCCAACAGAGAATACATGAACACTCTGCTTGTTTGCAGGATAGTGTTTCATCTTTGCTCTTAAAAAACAAACAGACCCCAAAAGGAAACACTACATGTTCAGTACAGCTCAGCAGGACTTCAGTCAACATTAGTCCTTCTGTGAACACTGGCACATTTTACATTATGACTGCGTTTTTGGCCCATCCATAACATAAAATAATTGATGACAAAGGAAAACAACTTTGTCAAGTTTATACTGCAGTTAATGTTCAACTGTTGAGGATATCAGACTGGGACACCCTTAATAATGGTAAAACACTGCTGTGCTGGGAGGATGAGACAGCAGTGTCCAAGTTTCTGCTTTATTATTGCTAATATTTTGATTTTCATTTACCTTATTGTTGCGTTCAACCCCAGTGTAATCTGCTTCAGGTGGAATCTTTATGTGTAACTCAGCTTCATAGGCTCCTTCCCCATCATTCCTTGGATTTATTATGAGCATGACACAGTTTTCTTCTCCAATTATTAACTGATCTGTATCTCTGTATAGAAAATACTACTTGTCAGGAGTTAGAACACGCACAATTTTTATTTACATATGAATAAAGCAGAAGGACATTTTGCTCTCCCAACATCTGCTCTGGAAAATATTCTGTGAAACATAATAAAACATTTTCCAAAAGAAATGACCCCATGGAAAAGTATGCCAGCACCTGTGTAGAAAAGAGGTAAAGAGAAAACAGTACCATGGACAATCAAAGCAGACTACCACAGAACTTCTCAGTTACTGGTATAAAATTTCAGAGTCTGACTAGTTTCTAACCAGTAAGAAGTATTTAGTGGAGGAATTACTTGCCACAAGGGTGCCATCAGCATTGTTTTGGCAGGGTACAAAGGTGGTAGTTTTTCTCTCATGTCCATTGTAAAATGAATGATGACAAAAATTCTCCTGAGATTTGCAACAGTGCTGTGCCCTTTCCTTTTACAGGAATGATGGACTGATTTTGATGGCACAGAGTCAGAGGTTCCCATTTTTTCTGCTTAGCCCACTTCTCCCCCAACACAAGAAATTTTTTCCAAGTTTTGAAATCTTTTTAGTCTGAAATTCATTTACTTCACTTTATACTCTCGCTGTATACTGAGTTCAGGAGGATTGTGCCCCAAGCTCAAAGTCACTGGCACACTGAAATAAAAAAATTTGAAACCTCCTATGAACAACAATTTGCATTATCTCTTGGCATTCAGAGAACTAGAACCACCTCTAATGAACACCTGCAAAGTCTGTTTTCTGTGACAACCATTAAACATCATAAACGTGATTTGTAAGTGTATATTTCTACATTTCTGGGTTTTCTAGATGAAATGGAGGCACAAATTAAAATCTGGAAAATTATTAGCTCTAGTAAACAACAGAACTGTGGTCTACATACTTCATTCTGTTACAACAGTCAGCAGTGTTTGGACTTCCTTATTCACAGCGTCATTTATTTTATTTAACTTACGGCATAGCAGAAAGTTGCAACTCAGGAATGCACAAGTTGTCCTCTCCACAGTCAACTAGAATGTAAGCCTGTGTTATTGCAAAGTGAAAAAATGGTAATACAGTTAGTACATGCCTCAAAGTCCAAATCACTTCCTTAAAAATCACTAATCTAAGTGTCTTAAATATCACTAGCACTGACTTCATGAGTTAATTCTCTGTCTCCTTTCTGTAAGTTCCTTTCCACATGGTAGTTGGAGACTAGACTGTCAACTACATCCTTAGCAGAACAGTATCATCTTTCAGGCCCTTTCCCACCCTAACTTGGCTTACATATTCTAGAAGGCAATCAAAACTAAGAGCACAACAAAGTTTTGGAAATACTTTAAAGGCCTGTCGATTCTATATTTATATTCAATTTACATTTTGAATTAATTAAATCCTTGTTGTGAAATTTCTGGCCATAATTCTCTGTTTTAAGGAAAATGACACATAGCATTTGTAAATGCTTTCTTGTTTATATACAAAAAAGGTGGCATGCAAAATTCGTACCTGCTCTGTTAATGAGCTTTTCTGGTAATAGTTCAGTATTGGCTTCACAGTCAAACTATCTTCAAAACTGGATTCATCCAAACTATAATTGAAGTTTATATTAATGGGAGATAATTTATCTCTAAATTCTGTTTCATCCTGTGAGTGACAATCACACAATAAAAAACAGTGGTTTAATACAATTATTTCAGATTAGTATGGTATGTCAACAGTTTCAGACTTCAGTCTTTATAGAATGTAAAAACATGGTTCTTTGACAGCTGCTGGCCAAATTCTGGCTGCAAGTAGTGTTATTAGGAAAGTAAAGTGACTCAGCAGTGACTGGAATGCCCAGAACACATTGCCTCCACAGCCCCTTCTGGAAGAAGCTGGCTTAGCTTAGTAGACTCAGAAATTTTTCAAAGTCATTAGCCTAAAATGAAGCTNAAAGAGACACACAGAACCAACTCCTATCAGCTGCTGCCCACCTTCCTTTTGAACTGGAGGTAGGACATGTGTGGATTTGTGGAGGTAATACTGGTGGTTTGTACTATAACCAAGAACTTATGTGAGTTAGCAATGGTAAAACTTTCTTGCCTAGGTACTTCCTTACATAGTGCTTGAAACTTCTCCACTTCAACTCCCACTGCATTTCTTGGACCAGACTTGGAATCTACTTCAATTGCATGAGGTAATTCCAGCTGCAACAGAGTAACTATTGACCCTTTCTTCTTTACAACTTCAGACCCATGGTTTTATTTTTTCTAAAAGCATTTTTAAATACCTTCAAAATATTTTTTAAAATATATGAATTTTAGGCCAACATTTTTAGTGAGGCTCCTTTGAAATATCTGTTGCAACTGAATTGGCATTGACACGACTAGCTGATTATCCCACTGTGAGTACTAAAAAATAAAGGGATACTGAAAATGGAAAGTAATCTCGCATTTTTGTATCAGGAGATGCAGTATTTGATCAAAATTTCCAGAAGACCATGAAATTAATGTATTTTTACACAGAAAAACTGTACTTTCTTCAAAAGAAGTCTTTATTTTATACTTATATTGACAAAAGATCAGCCAAAGATTTATATAGGGAATTTTTTTCAAGGTAGCAATATGTTCTGGACATTCTAGAGATATAGATAAGGTCTATCTTATCTCACATTTCTGTAATTTTGGAAATTGTTCTTCCTTTTCTGGTGGCTACTTTTTTACTACTATCTTTAAATCCCTCGTATTACTCAAAAGATGATGACAATCCAAAATATTTTAAACTACTTACTCTGAGATAAACAAGGAAGTCCTGGCAATGGAGCTGCTTCTGTCTTTCTATCACAATGGAGAAGTAATGATGTGACTGATGGTAGTCAAAGAAAAGGGTCCTCTTAACAGCTCCTTTCTGTTTCAATGAATCTAATTGCAATTCACCCTTCAGCACTAAAGGATACAAATAAATCAAACATTTATTGATTTAATATAGAAAGAGAAAATACTAATCAATTAGTTATGATTGTATTATAATATTATAGTATTATAACATAGTATTACAATTGATTAATCTAACAAAGTCTTCCAAGGAAAACTAATCCATGCTTTAAGTGCCTGTCTCTTTAGCAGCCCACGAGTTTTTGATGCAAAGTATGGAAGATGTGTAATTTAAGCTTTCTGATTTCACTGACAGATCATACATGTACAGGACTTCTGTTGCTTTAAAGTTGTTTTTTTCAAAACAGAACATTCTACAACAAGGTACATTCTTGGTTTTATTTGGAAAATGGCTTAATCTGAATCAAAAATCCTTTAACTCAGTAAAAGAAGCTTTGTGTCATATATATACATATACATTTTTTTTAACTGCATTTTCTTGCCTTGGGAGGATCTCACTCCTATCATCTTTCAAAGTGTAAGAAAAAACTACACCTGAAATGGAGCAGGAGACAGTAAATTATACGAATAGAAAACATTTCTTACCTATCTCATCTGAAATACTTTGACCTTCAAAGTCTGCGCAGACTCTTACAGTAAAGCTACATATAAAAGAGTAAAAGTGATTATTAGCAGAAAGAAAACTCCCCTGGGAATCAGCAGTTCCCAAGTTGTATCTTTAAGTTATTTTAATTTTCTTAAAAAGCTGTAATTGAGATCTGTATTTAGCTACCTATTATATTAATTAATTTAGCAGGTCTCCTAGGCTTCAGTAATCACAGAAGTGTCTCTGAGTATCTTCCTGGCAAAAGTATGGAGAAGAGGCTCTGTTACCAGTATTTCTTGAGACATCCTACAGAGATTACCCTTCTAATACTATTGTGAAAGTTAATGCTGATTGTCAGCAAACCACCTTTGTAAGAGGCTGTCTGCAGAAGTCCTTCTGGTTCATCATGGTCAAATCACAAAAATCTTTGAGCATGTAGTCAATACTCAAGCTGTTTTCTAGCAAATCAAAAAATACACAGGATAACAATGTGTTCTACTGGCATTATTATAATATCGTTACTATTTCAGGAGGTTAAATAAAAAAAATTTGCATTAGCCATTGCTTTTCATCTTCTCACTATTGTTATGCTATATACTGATGTCCCCATGCAGTGGATGCAAAGCCAGTAACATAACCTTTAAAACAACCTGTAATCACATTCTATTTGCATGTTTGCTTCCTCTGACCAACGTAATGGAACTGTGTCACATCTAGGATACATGTCACTCTCATGATCTTAATAAACACTTTTTTATTGTGGGGTTAAAAAAAGACATTTATTCTTGAGGAAAAAAATGTCACTATGCCACTAAACTACTAAACTGTAGCTTTCAAATGACAATCCAGTCCATGCAGAAATTGCAAATTCAGTCATATTCCTGCTTCTTTACAGAAGGATGAATTAACACATGAAGAACCAATTATTTCCTAATACATAAGGACAAAACAATAAAATTGAGGAAAGCTTGTGCAATTGCACAAATAAAATTTAGAAATCAGGCTTCACAGGCCAGTCTTGTATGTCAGTATTTTCTCAAATGCAAACTCAAGAAAAATATACTCAGTGATCTTGATTTGGAGAAGGCAAATAATTTTTACACTACCATGTCTGAAAAAAGGTTGGGTTAAAACATCCAGCTTGGAATGCTTTACTTGTTCAACAGAACAATTTTAGTGTACATTTTATTTACTACGATGAACTGAATAGTTCATCATACATACTTGAAAACTGAAGTCATGTTCTTAAGTATTACTGTAAGAGTCAAGATTTACTCCTTCCGCTCCAGGCAGAGTATGTCAAAAAGGGAATGGCAGTGCCAAAGAGCAAATATGTGAAGTGAATAATCTCCCAGATTCTGGCCACACAAGAGGCAACGCTATGGCTTTACCAGAATTCTGCCACACATTTGTGATTTTATTATTTAGTTCAGAAACTGTTCTAAAGACATCAAAGATTTCAATCACTAACCCAGATGAATTTAGATATGCTCATCACTTCGACAGGAAGATGCTGTGGAGAGGCTGAGGGATGCTTCAGCTTCAAGAAAAAGAAAAGCAGGGGCAAAGACCACAAAAGAGGACAGCAGTCGAAAGGATTTATGGAGATTCAAGATCTGACTCCTAGACACAGTAAGAAATAAAATAGCTGAGCTTTTGAGCTTTCTCATAGGATCAATCAACCAAACAATGCAATTAACAATCAAAGGAAGAAAATTTCAGCAGATAAGAAACAGCTGGGAAATAGTCCATCATCCTAAGGCATATGAATTTTTTATGTGCTATCAGTCTTGTCTCTCCAAAGAGATCCCCACATCACATTTATTCTCTGCTGAGTCTGTCATCACTATAAGCTCACGGTTTGAATAGTATTTGACTGTAATTACAAAAGCAAGGAATTACCAGATCATTTGTCATTGTCGAAAATTTCTTTAGCACACAGGTTTGCAGATGGAGAGAAAGAATGGATAATGCTTTATCAGAAAGGCCATTTAAGCTTTAATGTTATGGACTTCCATTCTGTTTGAGGCTGATACCCATCCTGCAAGGTCACAAATCTCTACAGAAGAATGCAGAGACTGATATTGTCTACTGATAAACAAACTTTAAACAAACTGTTTCCTCTTTGAGGAATAATTTGTAAAAGCAAGTCAATATATTTCTATTATGATGCTCTGATACTTGCCCTGCTTCTAGATTTTGCTATGCCAAAGTCTAAGACAGTGACCAACATAGAGCTTTAATGCTGAAGGCATCCCATGGCTAAGCTATACCATGTGGACAGGCCATGGTAACACTAGGGCTGCTGGATAGCTCAAAAGACTGCCTTTTGGATGTCTCCAGGGCTACTGAAACTAGTACCTGGCTCAGAGATCTCCCACACAGCAATGCAGCTGTGTTGGTAGCAACTGTCACTACCTGCCTCCTTCCCTCTGAGAGCTGACTCTCCATCTTCTGACTCTGGGCCACATGCCTGTGCTGTCTGACCCATGGAGTCAGGCTGGCCAACAGTCTATGGAAAATCTCACACAAATCCATCTCAACAATGGTCCTTAGGTCCATATCCATGGGGTACCAATCACATCCTGTTTCAAATTAGGTCAATGGCAAAAGAAAATACTAGCAATAGAAAGGAACCAAATTAGAAAAATCTATGCAGTTAGGATAGGTTGAAATATTATTATATTTGGATTTTACGTTTTCTGTAGGCATTTCGTATTGTTTTTTTTTAAATGTATGAAGAAATGTCTCATTTACTGAATCTAGCTGACCCAAGATTATAAATGTTGTATTACTACTTTAATAGTAGTACATTTGGACATAAAAGAATGACAATTTTTTTCAGAGTATTTTTGATAGTAGGAACTTGAAGATCAGAAATTTTAAACAGTCTACCTCTGGTTTAATGGGTTTAGAAAAGGTGGATAGCTGGGTTGCCTAAAGAAGCCTGCAAAGCACATCTCAAATCAGACATCCAAACCCAAAAAGTGCTTACAAATAAAAAATATATTCTACAACTTGACTGTTTATAATGATTGGACAATTCTGTACTACTTTTGGTAAGTCAGGTAACTTCTCCGACCTCTTGCTCCTCTAGGAATTGGAAATAACAATATTTACCTCAAATTAGTGCAAAGTGAGTAAATAACACTTTCAGATACAATTTAAGCACAAAGTAGCAATAAGGTAGCCACGGGATTATCTGACCTCAAATAGTAATAAAAATACCAATGCATGTGTAAACTAGACATCTCAATAGCTAGAACCCAGTCTTGGACATAATAAATCACATGATGTGGAAACAGCCTTTGAAAACTTAAAATGTTTAATTTATTTACCCCTTTTTACAGATATTAACTTGCATCTCTCACACTTAGGAAAAAAAAAAGTCTTTTCCCCATATTCTTTAATAGCTTCAAAGTTGCAGAATTTGTTCCAGATTTGCTAGTTTTGGGAACATAGAAACAGCCCCACTTTACACACAGCAGAGAATGAATTATATGCTTCTACAAGTTCAGGACAATTCCCTTAGGGTTGTGTATAGAAATTACTTTTTGTGCATGTTTCCTCTGTGCTTCAGCTCTTCAATCATGGTAAAAATAATATTTTCCTAATACTTGGAGATGTACAATAATCCACATTATTCACACACACACTTCCTGGAACTTTTCTGGTAGGAGGTTTCCTTTCATTCTAACTTTGCTGTGTCAGTCAGTAGACTTTTTATACAAGTTGTGCAGCTGACTAAGAGATACACAAATTCATCCCATGGGACTGAGGAATTCTTTGCTTGTTGGAGTTTCCCTACTCATTGTTTTAATATGTGCAATACAAGCTTATATCAACTAAGGAGAAAAATTACAGTGTGGAAAATAGCAGCTGCTCTTCAGTCATTTTGTAATACAAACTAAATCTTTAGGGAACAGTATTTTAGAATTAAGCAGACAGAAATTAAATTATGCTCCTATTAAAGCTCTTGTAGATATGAACGAAACATCTTCTGGCTTACTGTAGTGGAGAAATTAAAAGTAATGAAAAAAATATGCTACAGGAGTATTCGTTTTTTACTCCCTTTTTAAAAAAATACCTCACAGCAGGAGTATTTTTTTTAAGAGATATTTTTATTTATTTCTCTTGTGCAAAAAACCACCTTTTTTCTTTCAATACTCTCTTGGTAAATGTTATGGTTCCAAAATCTTTTTCAGTAAGACATTAAGCATTTTTTAAAAGTCTTAAAACCTGAAGTTGTGAGAAAAACATAATTTTGATCAACGAACGTGCTTCAGCCAAGAGTTGATATTTTAAATTCTGTATTAACTATTAATACAAAATGTACTTAAAAAATTAGGGTGGATCTTGATCTCTCCTATTCCTTAATCTTGATCCTATTCCAAAAAGGCCAAAGCTTTGTGGAGTTCTGGGACTGTGTAGTTCTACCAAGTGCCTTCTACATTGCTCTGTAGATGGGTAATTTTCTACACTGGGTGTAGAAATGAAGAACATTATGACAAATATGAGAAATCCTATAAAGTGTAAAAGAAAAGTGCAAGAGTGAAAATCTCTTGACAGCCCCATCCCATATACATTGAGAGCCCACATATATAGGGGTTTAAGTGTACCAGAGTTTAGTTCCTTTATGGCTTTTAAATGAACTGCTTCTGGTCATGATTATTTTTTACGGTTCATATTTATCAATGTATTCTAAAGACTCTTTTGCTGACTTTTACATTTGAGATAATTTTCAGAACTCATCTCCTATAAAGAACATCTCCAGTGTGAGAAATCCCTCTGACCATCTCTAGTTTAAAAGCAGTGAAAAATTTCTGCAGTCATGTATCTTCTGGAGTCCTCCTTTACACTTTAATATTGTTTTCATCCAGCCCACGTCCTGGCAGACTTTCTGTTTCTAATGTTTCTATGTCTGAGAAATCTGTTCCTCACAGTCTCTTTGGCAAGACGCACTACTATTTTATATTCAACGTGCACATGTTTATGCTCTGTTTTGATTTTAGCTTCCTCATTTGTTATGGTTTCCACTTTTAAGTAGTATCTTTTTTTTGTATTTGTAATAACCTCTTTTATCGACTGTTCTGAGGTCCTTTCTAAGCGACCTTTTTCTAGTGCAGTAAACGTGCCTTTATGTGGTATTATGTGCTATTAGATAGCCTCCAACTGTCCTGCAAACATTTTTATATTTGTAACTGATCTTAAATTGTTTTAATTAGCTTCAAGTTTCTTAATGTTCTTTTTCTTTTCAAAGTTAGATGCTACTGTGGTGAAGGGTTTCTCTTTTAAAGATAGATGAAACATTGTCCTGTGTGGTGCACTAAAAAAAAAGCTTTCCTCTGACCAAAGACAACCAGAAACAACATCCTGTGAACTTCTCTCAGAATTGTCAGCCAGAGATATTCTCTCTTCCACAAAGGACCAAGATCTTTCTTTCTCCAACAGAAAATGGTGGGCCCACAAGTTCTGCATCATTTTCACTGTTACATTTTCTCAACAAAGTTATGTTTTTTGACAGATCAGTGCTTATGTGTTTCATCTGTTTTAGCTGTTTTATCTTTCATTCATCCAAACATTGCATATAATTTTGCAGCTTGACCGTAGGAGATACTGAGCATCCTCCTAAGCAGAAGGAGACTCATTATATCAAAGGACTCAACTTATAGCTAAGACACAGTTTGACAATCTGTGAAGTATTGGAATGTACTCTACATAGGAGCTTTTTTGTTGTGCTCAGAGCATGTTTGAATATTTTGAACTTTGAACACGTTCAAAAAAAGCTGCAATAAAAGTTATTAATAAGAAGTTATTTGAGAAAGAGGATAAGGATGGTTTCTGAGTAATCATGAACTTACCAGGCCACTAAAAGCTGAGAGTCAGGGAGCTGACAAGTTTTGTTGTCTGGATTCACAATCATAGGGTTCAGAATAAGACGAGCATTCACTGTAACAACAGGTCTGGCTCTGGGGGACAGAAATAAGGTTCACTGCACATAGAAAGAGCACAAGAGTACCTAAGTTGAAGCAGAGAAAACACTTAACTGAGATGGCCACAAAGAAGCCAGAGATGCAGGGTTACTTAGGAGAACACACTCTTATAATGCTGCTCCTACACAAAAGAATTTTTTTTTTTTTGGTTCAGAAGCTGTGATACATCCTACTGAGATTTTGACAGTTCTTCATGAAAAAAATCACAGGTTAACACATGACTGAAACAGTATCCTACAGTCAACCAGTAGATGAGTCCCAGGACTAAAGCACATCAGACACATTTCATCACACTGAGTTTTCACAAAGGGACAGAGCCTGCCTTTTTGGGATTTACAGCAGTCCTTTGGACATTTGTTTTATTTACAGCAGTCCTTTGGACATTTGTTTTGTACTGTCTCCATTAACAGTGACATATTCAGACTCACTAGCTCTGTTTAAGATTCTTAAAAAAAATAAAAATAATTTGGTTAAAGTAGAAGTTGATGTAGGGTATCCTGAGTAAACGATCAAGTAAATTCTGTCTGATACTTCTTGAGAAAATTGACTTTGTAAATCAGGAATAATCATCAATAAATTCTGCTGAGTACATGGATATATAGTTGTGGTAATGGGAACCACCCCTCTGAAACTGTTATTAAGTAATGAGATAATCTATAACCATAAGTAATTTAGAAGAGAAATAAAAACAACTAAGGGTCCAGATTCTGTTGTTTTTCAAGCAGAAGTACTATTTTACAGTAACTTACATAATTCTGGCTAACTCAGCTTATTACAAAATTACTTTCTTCATATTTTAATACACATTTGAGCTTTTATGATTACTTATCTGTATTATTTCAGCAAGACATTGAAAAATAAAATTACCCTCTTCATTTTTGTGCAACAGGGAAACCCTTTTTTCTAGCAAATTTTGGTCAACAATATTCTATTTCACCAAAATGACAGATTGCATATTTGGTATGTTCTGGCCAGGAAATGGCCACCTGCTACTCACTGTCTTGAACTAAATAGAACAGATTTTATTGTTATTGAAAATACACAGTGGATCTAATTCTCCAACATTTCACATCCTGTGCAGTCATTCATGGCACTGCAAAGTGATGCATTGCAAAGTATTTGCATGATTCTTTAATAGGGAAGTAGGAAAATCAGGTCTATTCACTGAATTCTACAGTGTTAGTTGAAATGAGTTAACATTCTTGTTTTACAAAATTCTTATGCTTTCACAAGCATTCAGTTGAGAAGAAGAACATGCCTTCTCTCCGTCAGGTGCTGTTGGGAAGACAGACAGGAATCAAGAAACATGACTATTTGGTTGTAGCAATGGATGGTGAATATTCAAATGTGAACAACTGTCAGCCTGGCTGGACAAAGAGAGCAGTAACAGATTTTTGTTTATGTACTTGGTTTAGTTTTAAATTATAACTCGAATTAAAAAATGCATTTAGTGGAATTCCATAGTCAGCAAGAACTTTTTGTTTTGTAAAATGGGATCTTGTGCATTTTTTTTAAACTGAGCCTAAAAGGAGCAGTCTTTATTTTCAATAAATAGTTCATCTTAACATATATGACCTCTGAAGAATCAGAGTCACTTTGAGATTTCTTACTAGCACCATTCCCTGTGAAAAGAAATTAATTTTCAATTCTTTGCCTTCTAATTTTTTTATTTAAAATTAACTGAGGAGTCAAACATTCCAGAAGCTTCTTAAGCTACGACTAAGTATGGAAATTTTCACTAAAATTACAAGTTCTGAGCATGGGAAAAAGCATTTGTTTCTCACAAGATGTTTAATTCATCATCTCTAGTGATCTGTTTTTACACATTGAAACAGAGTAACACGGGAATCTGAAATTTGTTTATTTGCAAATCTCTGACCAAAGCTGCAAAATATAAAATCCATTGTATTTGCCACATACCTGTAAACAACGGCTTTCCCAGCTCCAAATGCACCCACAATTAAATCTGGAAAAAACAATGGCTTCAGAAGAGATATATAGATATCTCTCACACATTTTTTCCTGCCTAAATTAGATTATTTACATTAAAAATGCAGTAACATAAAACAAATACGATATTCCTTTCTAAGCAATTTTTTTTCGAAAGTGTACCTGAAAGAAAACACTTCACATTGCCAGAGACCGCCTCAGAAATGTCTCAGTTGTACCCAGTAAGTGCCAATCTATTTAACACAAGGTCACCCAATCCACAATCTCACTTCTCTCCAACTTGTATCTCAAAGAGACGCAAATCAATTCTTGTCACTTTCATACAAGTCATGTTGAAAATTTATGATGTTCCTTCCTCACAGTCTTTTCCGTCCTGCTTTGTGTTTTAAGTAATTTGGTCATTAATTTAAGCATTACATCTCTGTGCACATAAAGACAAGGCAAGGTCAGAGGATGGCTGTTTTCAGAGCTTCTAATATTTCCAGTATTGCAGCAGCATGTACTAAGGCTTACAACAGTTGTCCATCTAAAGCCGTCTTTTTCCCCAACACTCACCATTTCAAACAGATGGAGTCAACGACACAAATGCTATACTGGGACTTGGGCACTTCTTTGTTAGTGGTCGTCAGCTTGGGTTTGGGAATCTACAGAACCAAATATTTCCTCTTTTTGTCTTGAGCCCTCACACAGGGCTCCCCAGAAAGATCCAGACTGGTTTGCTGGATTCATTCAGGCCTGCTGGAGAAAAACTGGAGCCAAGCAGTGATGAAAAAAGATCAAGTTTCCTGCTGCCTCTGACTTTGGAAAGAGCTTTGTTTCATTTTCAAAGCCCCCAAATGTCCATCTGGGCACTCCTTTCACTCCACTGTTGTTACTATACGATTTAACTGACATGTGTCCGATTCAGTACGCTGAGCCTTACAACAGACCTTGCAGTGGTACAGACTGGCAACCTAAATGGATTTAAATAAGTTAATTAAACCAGTACTCAGGGTTGCAAACAAAGCCTTACTTGCTGCTTTTATAGTTTTAGCACTGGTTTGCTTAAGACGCCCAGAAGTAATCGAGCATGATGCAAATACAAAGCTTTGATGTTAATTAGCTGGATCGGTTTGATCCAGGGCTGGCAGCCTGTTTTCTAGTCTCCTTTGTCTTTCAGATGGCCAGGATTTCACAAGTTTAAACAAGTACTTCACATGGGCATCAGCTGGTCCTACACTGAATTCCACTGAATAACATACTAATAGGAGAAGGCATGGACAGTTTACGGGTCTGATCCTCTTTTTGTACAACATTTACATTTTTCTAGTTTCATTGCCCTTAGAGAAATATGCTTCAGGGTCAGGAACACTTTAAATAGCAGAAGAAAATGAGTGTTGTTTTTAACTCCTTTTTGGGACATTTATGTGTACTTTTAATTAGTAGCTTTTTTAGACAACTTGCACACAGTACGAAATCTAAAGATGTTTAAATAAACAACTATTTGAGACAAAGCCATCATCATAAAGGCTACACCACACACGAGGCAAAACTTTTCCTGGAAGCTCACTGGTAGCAGCACCCACAGTAACCCTCCAGAAACATTTAATAGTTTGATTTTTTTTTGTGTTTGAGGTTTTCTGTGGGTTTTTTGTTAGTTTTTTTTCCTGCTTGTTGGGTTTTTTTTAATGAAAAAGAAATGTTATGTTATTAACAGAAAGTGAAAGACAAGAAGGAAGGGGTTTCTGTTCTGTTGTTCCCAGGTGGATACTCTATGAATTCTGCAACAGACTTGACTTACAGCATGTACTGTTTTATACTAAACTTGATAAATCAAAAATTTTCAGGGCTATGTTACGGCAGAGACAAAACAGGTAGACATCCAAGACTTATCCGGACCCTGGTCTTGGGATGATTTCATAATCCAATCTTTCATTAAAAAATCATAGAATCACAGAATATGTTGAGTTGGAAGGGACCCACCAGGATCACTGAAGTCCAGCTCCTGGCCCTGCACAGGACACCTCAAGAATCACACCATGTGCCTGAGAGCATTGTCAAAATGCTTCTTGAACTCTGTCAGGCTTGGTGCTGTGACCACTTCCCTGAGGAGCCTGTTCCAGTGCCCAACCATTCTCTGAGTGAAAAAACTTTTCCTGATATCTAATCTAAGTCTCCCCCAACTCAGCTTCATGATGTTTCTTCAAATCCTGTCACTGGTCACCATACAGAAGAGATCAGTGCCTGCCCCTCCTCCTCCTCTCAAAAGGAAGTTGTAACTGCAATGAGGTCTCCCCTCAGTTTCCTCTTCTCCAAGCTGAACAGACCAAGTGCCCTCAGCCGCTCCTCATACAGCTTCCCCTCAAGGCCCTTCACCATCTTTGTTGTCTCCTTTGGGCATCCTAACAGTTTAATACCTTTCTTACATTGCAGTGCCCAAAACTGCCACAATATTCAAAGTGAGGCCATCCCAGTGCAGAGCAGAGAGGGACAATCCCCTCCCTCACTCAGCTGGCTTTGCCTGATGGCCCCCAGGACATGGTTGGCCCTCCTGGCTGCCACGTCAGGGCACTGCTGACTCATATTCAACTTGCTATCGACCAGGACCCCGAGATCCCTTTCAGTGGCACTGCTTTCCAGCCCCTTGCTCCCCACTGTATTCACAGAACCAGGGTTGCCCCATCCCAGGTGCAGAATCCAGTACTTGCCCTTATTAAAGTTCATAGATTTGGTGATTGTCTAGCTTTCTAACTTATCAAGGTCTCTCTGCAGGGCCTCCCTGCCTTTGAGGGAGTCAACAGCTCCTCTCAATTTAGTGTCGTTGGCAAACTTTCTGGTTTTCCATGAGCAGTGTTTCCACACTGCCACTTCAGCCAGGTTTGGTGACACAGTAAAAAAGATGAGGACCTTTAATCATAGCACCACCACAAAGGCCTTATTTGAGCACAGTCTAAGGGCAGCCAGGGCTGTGCTTATCTTTCTTTTTTGGAAGCTCTTACTTTTACCCTGATGTGTCCTTTGTTCTCTGTTCTAAACCACGCTTATTCTTGATCCAAAGATCTTGAATGAGTGAAACCACTCAGTAGAGAAAGTGGAATTAAGAATGAATATGCAAACAATAAAACATATTTATACCCAGTAGTGACATCTACGATCTAATGCAAGGACAAAGTGATTATATATTCAAGCAAAGTATTTGCTGGAAAATTCATTAGGGAGTTTTCTTTGCTTCTACTTGTTCTATTACAGAGCAGCAGTTTTATTTTTCTTTCATTGCTTTGTGGGGTGCAACTTCTATACCTATCACTAGAAAAAAACATTTTTGATGTTGATACAAATGCATGAGATTTGAATATACATCCAATCAGAGCACTTTTATAAGCAGAAGTTTTGAATTTGTTGTGTGTTCTGCAGAAGAATGTTACTAATCATTTTTGCAAAAAAATGCATGAGATGTCTAAATTATCTGAAGTTTGGCAACTTTCCCCTCCTAAAAATAGAGAGAAGTTGTCTTTATTAATACTTGTTAATGCTATGCATGTAACATCACTGATGCAAAGGTCACTAGCTTAAAAAAAAGGCTTTAACAACCAATTACACAGCAAAAAAAAAAAGGCCAGCTTTAAAAAAGCAGCTTAACTCCTTATAACCCTTCCAAACAGAGCCTGAAGAAAAGCATATGAAAACCTTTACTCCTTTGCATTAGTGAGGGGTTTTTTTCAAGATCAGATTGAAATGTATATATAGAGAGAGAGAAACAAAGAAGAAGAAGTATCAGAATCACAAAATCTCCTTCACTTCTTTTTTTTCATATTTCATGTTTTCAGGATGATGAGGGGCCTCATCAGTTTAGGTAAATGACCACTTTGCCTATGTTGTCTTTTTCAGAAGATTTTTTATCAGCTGCTCCCCTTCAGAGAAGCTGAGATCTGGAAGAGGGAACTGGTGGCAGCAGCCGTGAGCTTCTGCCTCATTGCTGTTGTGGGATAAATGAGCTGTGGGGTCACAGCCACACTGCAAAAACTAAAGAAAACAAGCATGGAGTGACTCCACAGGAATTTTTATCTTCCATTTCAACACAGCTTACGGCTTGCATGCATTAGTGTCCCAACTGGTAGAGTTCACAGATCTTAATCCTGAAACAAGTGTCTTTGGCATGTATTTAACTGATATCAATAGGCACAAAGCTAAGCAATCCTAATGCTTATTTCAAATTTTACTTTGCTCTGAAGAGAAGGGTTCCAAGATGCCCTCTGGTGAATCCATTTTCCTAGATAAAATTATCATAAAAAGTTAAGGAGAGGGCACTGAAAGGCACACTCAAATTTCTAAGCTGGTCTGTTTACCTGCACCTTCTGCCATGTGGCTTTTCCAGACCTGAAACACCATGTGATAAAGGGCAGAAACTTGCCATGATGCTCCCTAGATCTTCAACCAAATGAATTAGGAAGATCAACAAGGTCTTACTTCCAGTCTCAATTAATATATTCATTTATTAACTTGAGAAAATTCTTTGATACCCTGGTATTTTTAAAGGACATCTCCATTACCTGTGAGAGACACAGGCTTAGGGAGGAACATGCATCGTGCTCAGCACCCTAGATTTGGTTTGAGTTTGTCCAGTAACCCTAAAATAAATTACCAAGGCATGGTATCTCATCTTGCTTCATGGGGGACAGTGACCAAGGAAAACAGCCACGAACAACTACGTAACTGGCACTCACCTCACTTCTGAGAAACATAAAAATTAAATGACAGCTGGGTCACCTCACCAATGCAACTCTATCAGGATAGGCAGGAAAACATTAACTTCGGGGAATCAGAATGATTTGCTGACAGCTTTAGATATAACTTTATGTAGTCTGTCAGTTTAATTGGACAGTATAAAAAGGGACTGGAAAATAATTAGGATTATATTCTATCTGAGTACAAGTGCTAATAGAAATTTCATAAAAGCGAGTGAGAAAACTGCCTAGCTGCAAACCCTGTTAAAAAAATCTTTGTGAGCCTTTTTGCTTTTTATTTTCCTCAGCAGAT